CACACACATTTAATTTGTTTTCATAATAAGTTTGAATTCAGTAAGTAAAATGATTTTTATTCAGCAGTGATGCTTTATATTGGTCAAAAGTAAATAGTAAAGACATTTATAATTAATAAAAAAATCAATTTCAAATAAAATTGAAATTTTCTATTTATCAAACCTGAAAAAAATGCATCATGATAAAAATATTAAGCAGCACAACCGTTTTTAACATTGATAATAACAGTTATTATAGTTAACTAAAACCATAAAACACCATACAAATAATTTAAATTGAACTATTTTTATATTATTTATCTATTTTTACGAACTAAAGAAATATTTTTTTAAACTTGTTTTATTTCAGCTAGTTTCCAAAGCAACATTTCTTGTTTTCTTTTAGTTTATCTTGATATACTGAAATAACTAAAACTGAAACTATATATATATTGTCACGGGGTGAAGAATCACACGACAAGGATTGCTCAATAAATGCCCCGGAGGGTGGATTTATTTACAAGTGGGTGACTCAAAGTGAAAGGTCCAGGTGGGTGCTCCGGTGCCGTGAGTGCTCTCGTCCTTCTTATATATATATATATATATATACACAAAACACACTAAAATTACTAAAACTTTAACAAAAATTCTAATGAAAAGAGAAACTATAAAAATAAAATTGTATTCAAGATATTAGTAAAAGCTATAATAGTGTTAGTAACCCTGAATAATATTTTTTGAGCAGCAAATCAGCATATTAGAATGATTTCTAAAGGATCATGTGACACTGAAGCCTGGAGTAATGATGCTGAAAATTCAGGTTTGAACAGAGAAATAAATTACATTTTAAAATATATTCAAATAGAAAATAGTTATTTGAAATTGTAAAAATATGTCACAGTTGTACTGTTTTACTGTATTTTTGATCAAATGCATGCTGCCTTTATGAACATAAGAGACTTCTTTCAAAAAACATAAAAAATTGTTTCGTGTTGAATGTTAGTGTATATAAATATATAAGTGCTTTCAGTAGCTGTCAGAGTGCTGAAGTGAAAGCCACCGTTCTGTCAGTAATATCTGAACAGGACTGGGCCAACAACATGTGTAAGTGAATCTGAAGCATCTCAAAAAATTGTAGGCAGCTCTGAATCAAAAAAGGCCGGTGCAGGAATGTGTTTACTTGTCAACGTGCGTTATCTGTGTGAAATACCTCTGAGATGTGTAGTTATCAGCTATGAGGGATTGTAGGGGTTTAAACTGGTCCACAGGGTATAATTAAAATCTGAAAAGACATTCATGAGTTATGAATGCAGTCAAGTCTCGTTTGCCCTCATTGAATGGAACATGAAGGTGTAAATTTGTGAAAAAGATAGCGATAAACAATCAGATCCGTTCCTCAGCGTAATGAATGGGTTTAGCTGCCAACAGCAATTATTGATCAGCAATTACTTAATAGCATAAACAGATATTTGCTGATGTACTATTGACCAACGTTATTCATTAATTAGCAAGACTGAGGCATCTACTCATTCAATAATGTCAGCAGCCAGCTGGCAAACCAGTTCTGCAGATCCAGCATCCTTCAGCAATCAGCAACTTCTTGAATGTGCTGAAGTTTCTCACAGTGATGATTGTAGGACTCACTCAGCTGTGGCACTTACAACTCAAGCTGTTCACAAGAGCAAGTGCATTTCCACTCTGTAGTTTGGAAGCTAGAAATGGAGTTTTCAGGGCTCAGAAAGAAGGATTTTTTCCCTGCTGGCCCAGAACACACATACAGCCCGATCTCATGGCAATTCGTACATATTTTACAAGGTGGCTAATTTGTACGACCTCACTCGTACAAATTTTTTTGCTAAATCGTACGTATTTTACGAGTTGCACAATTCGTATAAATTTGTACAAATTACCTACACTTAACCCCGCCCCTAAACGTATCTGTCACTGGGGTGTAGACAAATCATACAAAATTAATACGAATTAGCCACCTCATAAAATACATACGAATTGGTCGTGAGATGGCGTTGACACATACCATGCATTTATTGATTGATTGATTAATTTACTTATTCACTTATTTTACTCTTTACTTATTTATTTAATGTATTTATTTACTTAACTGTTCTATTTTTTACTCATTTAGTTAATTATCTTTTTAAAGTATATATCTTTTGACTTTTTAATGTATTTATTTATTTTGAAATGTCTATTTTATTTTTTAGATGTATGTACTTTTATTTATTAATAATTTCTAGCAAATATTAAATATGTTGCTAAATGTTGTTTCATTTAGTTTGCTTCTCTTTATTTATTTATATAATTTATTTACGGTTCTTTTTATTTACTTTATTTATTTTTTGTATTTGTTTCTTTTTAATTGATTTAAACTTCAATATGCTTATTTATGTTTACTTTTAAAATGTACATACATACATGCATGCTAGAAATACCTGCATTTTTTCATAAAATGTTGTTTTCTTGACAGTTTATTTTTTTCTTCAACATTTTTATTTTTTACAATAATAGATAATTTGCCAAAATAAAATTTGAGACAAGGAGGAAATGATACATATACATATTATATGAATATGTGATAATGAGCACACATAAATATGTCATAATGAGTGTTCAAAATCATCCAGAACATATTAAAAAAGTGTTGATAAAGATTATTGCAAGTTTTACAATAAAATACTATTTCAGTTTTTTTACTTCAAAATGTCACTTTTAATTCAAATTTACTCGTAAGCTAATAAATTCTTCACTTGGGGGTACATGATTTCTCAATATTTTGTATGCAGCATAACAACATACTCTAAAACTTATGTTTTGCCCCTCTAGGAAAATTAGTTCTCTACATCAACATTTAATTTAGCAGTGAAATCTGTTCTCAGAGCTGGACAATACTTTTCTGAATGTAGAAAGTCCTCTGAGCTTTTGATCCGGCATAATGGCGAAATATATCACGCTTATGGGTGACTGCTGAGCCATGGGCCTTGGCTTATAACACTGGTACATCATTGTCAGTGTTCATAAACCGGTTGTAATGAAATTCCTTGCTCACCTGGACACTGGAGGAATGGTAAGAGGAGCTCTACTACATCTCAATGTGCCTTGACTACATAGTGGACATATATACAGTATGTAATGCTTCTACTGGGAAATTAGTGCTTTTCTATCAAGTGACAGCACATGGACACATGGATAGATGAAGGAAAAGAACATGTTTGCATCTTTTTTTGCAAATAAACAATTTTTGCTTTCACAGTATTCATGAACACAGCTATTCCCATCGCAGCAGTTCTCGTTGTAAGTATAAAACATTATTATTCTGTTTTTTATTGAAACTATAAACACATACAGAAGTTGAAAAGCTCCCGTGTGTTTGTTTCAGACGTTCGTGGCTCATGTTCATCTGTCGGATGATGCAGATCTGTCCCCCGCTGTGGCCTTCGCCTCTCTCTCGCTCTTCCACATCCTGGTCACTCCTCTCTTTCTGCTCTCCAGTGTCGTCCGCTCCACCGTCAAAGCCCTGGTCAGGTCAGTTACAAACCACTGATGCGGGATAAAATCAAGTATGTTAAATATTAAGAATTGTATAAAGAAAATTAATTAATAGCAGCAAACTAGGTTTGGAATCAGATCCTTTAACAATGCAAGGTCTGACATAATGATAGTTGACATGAAGATTTTGTGTGTGTGTGTGTGTGTGTGTGTGTGTGTTTGTTCCCTTTCAGTCGGTCACTCCCGACGTCACGTCGGCTGACCGACGAAATTGGGATCTCGCTTAGAGAGACCAATCCACTTCGAGTGTAAACTAAACGAGCCAATGCACATTGGCATGCGATTATTGCATCCAGCTGCTGCTGATCACAGCGTGAGTATAAGTAGGCAGCAGATGCAAGGCATATTCAGCTTTTGAAGGGGCAGTAGCTGTGGCCTTTTGGTAGGATCCCAATTGAAGGAGGGAACGGAGACGTCACGTCCCGTCGCCACAGCTCCTGTACCACCGCTGAGCGGCCGGGTCACCGGCTCGGCTCCTCAGCGAAAACCTGAATATGCGTTGCATCTGCTGCCTACTTATACTCACGCTGTGATCAGCAGCAGCTGGATGCAATAATCGCATGCCAATGTGCATTGGCTCGTTTAGTTTACACTCGAAGTGGATTGGTCTCTCTAAGCGAGATCCCAATTTCGTCGGTCAGCCGACGTGACGTCTCCGTTCCCTCCTTCAGGGAACGAGGGTTACATACGTAACCGAGACGTTTCCACACTGGGGTAAAAAAATAAAAAATAAATAAAGTTGCTAATTGCAACTTTGGTAGCACTTTACTTAAAGCCTTTAATGCATTATAAAGGGTTATTAAAGGGTATAATGCAATATAATTATTTATAATGTGCATTGTAATGCATGATATATTTTCATAAATAATTATAACCAAATTTAAAATGCATAGTGTAACAATGAATTGATAAGTGTTATAAAGTATTAACTGTGGTTACAATTATTCATGAGACTGTACAATACATTTTAAGGTGCATTACAAGGCATAATTAATGCATTAAAACTACTTTTATAATGCATTATACATAAAGGCTTTAAGTGAAGTGTTACTGCAACTTTTTTATCTCACAATTCCAAGATATAAACTCATAATTGGGAGAACAAATATCAGAATGGTAATAAAAAGTCACAATTACCTTTTTAATTTTTTATTCCATAGTGAAGACAAAAAAAAAATATATATATATATAATTGTGAAATTTAAACTCAGATTTCAGAGAAAAAAGCTGATCTGAATTATGAGTTTATATTTTGCAATTCAGACTTGTTTGTTATTTTTATTTATATATTAGTTATCTTTTTATTAAGTGACAGAAAAGGACTTCCATAGCAACTACCTACATAAAATGACAATTACACCAGATGACTTAATAAAATATAAACTATCAATCAAATGACAGAAAACGTAATAGATTGTGTACAACAGGTTTTAGCAAAGTTTTGATCATGCTGATAATTTTGAGATAGTAGGCTTTATAGGGTTAACATTAAAGGGGTCATATGATGCAATTTCAAGTTTTCCTTTCTCTTTGGAGTGTTAC